TAACCTTGACAAGTTTTTGAACCACGTATAAGAAGTGTATCTACTTTATTTCTTTGGTTTTGTATAACATCTTTTTACTCTATACAGACTGTTTGCTGATTGGTTAATATTTCTCAAAGTCACTAAGGTTCGTTCAAAGTTCGTCCAGAAATTAAAGTCTCGCCTCCACACCTACTTCAGTCTTCAGTAGTAAGGATAGAAGGTAAACCCATTCATGTCAATCCCTACGACTTGTAGCACTGTGAAGATCCAATCCCGCTTTCTATTAACAAAACGTGCTGATATCACATGTTCTAGTAATTCACTACTTGATGGGAGAAACGCCACTCTAGACGTAAACGATTTGACCTCGGTTTTTGAACTTTCTTCACTGTCCTCTCAGACGGTCAGCCCTGGATGGAAGGAAAAGATGAGACGTATTAATACCAAGAGTATACGATGAGCCAGTATTAAATCACACCATAACCTGTGGTAAGATAACGGAAATAGGTTCAGGCGTCTCAGTCTGTCTTCATAAGATAGGTTGGCGAGACCTTTCACTATTCTGACCCCTTGCCGTTGAACTCTATCCAGCGTATCTGTCATCTCCAAAGGGTAGGACAGATGACTTTGGTACAGTTGGTAAGTCGTTTACATACCGTAAAAAAGAGCTGAGGATTATACGTTGGGTAACTCCATTTCTTAATGATTCCCATGTTGATGAAGCCCTATTTACCCGTACCTGTTGTCTCCCATCATTGAGAAAGTCGCTTATCCATTCCAGTCGGTTCGTAGCGGATCACAAGACTTTTTATTTTAAGACCTGTATGAGGGACCTTGTCAAAGACTTTAACTAGACCTGTGAATATTAAATCTGCCGGAATATATGCAATCGAATCTTGAAAAGCCTTTCCTAAAACTACGTTTTCCGACTAGATTATTCTCTTCCACATATTTAGAACAACCATCCAACTTATGTATTCCATTAGTTTGACTACACTGGCTAGACTAACGGGTCGATAATTACTAACTAAATCTATTCTGTGCTTTGTAAACCCGACAGGTAATTGTGTCTTTTGTTAATGGAGAAGGTTCGTAGATCAGGTGGATGATTTTAATGGAGTTTTGTTCTCTGAGTTGGATGGTTTGGTGGTGTCTTTTGGTCTCATGTCAGTATAAACTGCCACAAAGACATACCAGATAGCATTGCCAGAGTTTCGGCAAGGGGTGCGTACGTTGAAGGCTCCAGTGTGTAGTTTGGAGCGAGGTTTCAGTAGACCTGGGACAGTGTTCTGAGCACTAGAATCGTTGGCTATGATGACATCTGAGGAGGAAGCCGAAAGAGGAAGTTTAAAGGTGAAAGTCGATGTAGGAGGATTAATAAGAATTGAAGAGGGAGGTTGATTATGAATACAGTGGTCTTGAGTGCTGTTAGAGGTATGAGGGCAGTTATCACTTCCCGGTTACCCACACCGTGGAAGGGCTTTTCTGGAGGTGCCTGGAAAGGAAATTGGATTAGAGGTGGTCTTAGTGACCTGAGAGCGTGACCGCAGTGCCCAAGGAACAACTGCTTGAGGTCGGTCACACACGACCTTTTCATAGGTAGTTTTGTGTTAGCTCCTTACTTGTTGAGACATTACCGCCGGAGACGGATATCCGTGGGATAAGGCGAGGTGTGCACTTTTAGGGTCGACCTTTTCTAACCCCACCCCTCCTTGTGGGAAAGCAGCATCGCTGTCATGCTGGTTGTCTGAAGGAAACACCTTACTGCTGTCACACCTCTGTACAGTCAGCAGTACGACTTCGCCTTCGGACCTTGAGTTTGTTGCTTTTAGCCTCCAACCGACCTGTCTGACATAGTAGGACCTTGAGAAACGGTTGTTCCAGCCAGTGTAGCTCGAATGGTTCATCACGATAGGCAAACCCGACCACCACGTCAAGGTAGCAACAACGGTCGGGAGAGTTTCGGCAAGGCTTTCATAATCATAGGTATTTGTATCCGGATAATTCTGGAGTAACGTCAAAGTCATACACTAACGAAGTTTCGATCACAGCTATAATAAGTGACTTGAATTCTCCCACTAGTGGTCCTAGTTCGTGAAATTTATTTCTAAGACTACGAGCATTTGCATATAAGACTCCTAAAGAGAACGACCTGTCCGTACAAGCCTTGGTAGCATTCGCTTCCAAGACCTGACTATTCGAAAACCCACTAAGCGGAGATGTTCTTCACTAATCTCTCTGACGGATTCCTAGTTCAGGGATTTCTGCCTATATTTTATCTTCTAGAGAAATGTCAGGTCCTACTCGGACGTCGGTATTATCTTGACTTCAAGCACTAGTTAACAAAAGTCTTCCTTGTTTCTCCAACCTTAAGTCTACCCTAAGGAGTTTGCATGTTCGGAGTTCAACATTTGCTTCAGTTCACCTACCTATTTTTACCAGTTTTTTGGTCTGAACTGTAGAATCATCTGGTGAAATGCTACTAATATATATATACTGACCCTTTTCAAATTATGCGCGTGCCTTAGCTTTTTTATGAAGTGCTTTCATATATGCATGCTGTCACTGTATGGTTCATGTTGATTTATCGCTGCTCAGAATACTAAGTAACCATGAACTGGTGTATGTAGTCCTTTAGACTGGGGGAAATATACATCCACCTTTTGTTAGTTTGCTACTCCATTGGTGTTAACAATACTTCATTGCCCCCTGAATTGTTATTTCTAACCTCAACTAGTTATAGATCACAAATGTTCATCAGTCCATATCAACACAAAAAAATAAAATGTACATGGTGGGTACGAAAGAAAATCTAAAACAAGCATGTTGAGCATGTACTTAAAAACCGGTCTGCACCAATGCATAGCTTGACAACCGCCAATGAGCTTGAAGTGCTCATTGACTACTTCACTTATCTTGAGTGTCATCACTGCTTGTGGGTTTATGCCAGAAGAAATCTTGATGCGGATTCAAAAAACTCTGCTAATGTTTAATAATCAGTGTTAATGGTATTACAGCCAGGACACCTGTTTGTTCAATTAGTTCATTCCTGTTGGCCGAACTAAACACTGGTATATATCAGTTCTGATGCAATATTTTGTATTTTGAAGGATAAAAACGCATCCCAAACACTTAAATGGTTACTCAAAACATTCGAGAACTGCACTTTCTCAAGCTTTTTACTAGACAAAGCTAGTTCATCTGTGTATTCTAAGTTGGTGATTGAGTTTCCAGGTAAGGGATCGGTTCCAGGAGATCAGTCATATGTAACCCAGATCCTGGGATATGTGCATCGGCTGAAGTAATCATGCCACTTTAGCACAGCGAGATAAAATTGCCAAGTAAAATCCTAGAGTAGTAGAGGTTGTAACACTATCAGTAGTAACATAAAAGGTGAGACAAAGACAATATGATTCGAGAGAAGGGATTTGAACACTAAAAACTGCAAGACTTTGTTGAAACGCAGGGCCTAGGGAAAGAGAGTGAACGCATGTACGCATCAGTGGCTTTGTAGTATTTAGTACTATTTCAAGTCCACGTAGATTGTTTCAGCTTTTGGACATTATATACTTATATACGTTGTCAGTTGTTTAGTTGTAACCTTGACTGCCTTTATATGAGCGTATCTGTTCGTGTTTTTCTTATCACATACTCTGTTTGTCACATGTCTTCAGTTTTTTCTAACTATAAATGATGAGTCATGCTCGATCAAATCGAATAGGCTGAGAATCCTTTCTCCATGTTGCACTTACCGTCTGTCTGCGTAAATAAAACAAATTCTTATTAAATTTGTATTTAGCTTTTAACACAACCGTTGCCCAACAGGGTTAACCTAAGTCTGGTATACAATAATAAATATTTATATTTCGTGGTTCATTCATTGTAATTCATAATAAAGTTAGAGCGCTGACACAACCTATTCTAAGTCATGTCACTTAACGTTTCCAATCTTTGGTTACGATAATCGCGCGGAGTCCAAACTATATGTACGCAAAAACTTAACTCCGTCCAACGATCAGTGGTTTTATGATCTAGTGCCACGTTTTGTTTAAGTTGCCTCCAATCTTGTTTCAACTGACTCCTACATCAGCAAACGTTCTTCGTCGAGGTAGGCAGTGGTTTAACATACGAATGCTACCTCAACGAAGCCAATCTCATCCACCAATTAGCTATCCCTACCTAGTACCCTCTAAATTCCTAATTACGTGGTCCCAACAAACATGGACAGCACTTCAGAGGTACTTATGATCAAATACTAGTAACATGAGGATCCATTTTTAAAGGATATGTTTCAAAACAAAAAAGTGGGACGGCGGGTACTGCTGTTTAGCAAACTCGGCCTTTGGTTGGCTGACGGTAATAATGCCTACTCCTCAAGTTGGCGGGAGTCAACTTAAGTCTTTGAATTTTACCGTGATCCCATCAAATACCGATCATACAGGGGTGACAGGACTTCTCAGATAAGTGAAGTGGTCTAAGAATGCAACTACTTCTTTGTCATTAGTTAGGGTTTTGTTACATTTTATCGGAATAACTGTTCTGGCCTTGTGGGATATTATTAACCCTAACCCATTGGGTGTTACAGGTCTGTGCCTCCCCCCTTGATCCATACAATCAGTGTCAGGGCTAGTAAAACTACCAGGTTGCAAAGTTCGGACCTGTGGCTTAGTGACTAAAAGTCAAACATGTATACCACTGAACCACCGTCCTGAAAGTGTTCATCAGTATACCTTAAATACATACAATTGGTACTTCCTAGGAGAAGTAAATTTTATTTGGTTTATTTACGCATTCAATGACCTCGTTCGTGCTGTTATTCAATAACTTTCCTCTTGTTTCCTCATATGATTTGTTTTGTGTATTCCAATGGTTTCTTACCGGCGATTTTTGAATTACACATAAGCAAATAAAATCCACGCTTTCCACGCCAGTCTGATTACCTCTTAAATCACTAATCGACGAATTCCGTCTTTCAGATAATTTTGTCATAATTTTCAATACTAAATCTTATTTTTCAGATTTTGGAAGTATGACTGGTTCACTTCAAAAAAAGTTAAATACACACTGGGCGAGGTCTGTTCCTGATAAACGACTTGCAATTCAGTTACTTCGAGTCACTCCATTTATTTTTACGGCAAGTCGATCAACTATGGGTAGCCTTCTTTGCTGTGACGTAGAGGAGCCTTTCGCTGTACTCTCTACATCTAATCAAGTAAAAAGTTTGCTCTAACTTGACGTTTATAGTATCCTAGGATCTATGATGGTAACTTATGGATTAGCGCGAAATTCATGTCCTATGTACGTGACCCTTTACCCAAGTGCAGGTATATCTACAATATTTGCTTTTCTGCTAGCACGGGTTTAGTCGCCGTATACGTGTTATCGAAACATGCTTTTGGTTAATTAGAATTTTGAGCTATTCTGTTCAGTACCTTGAAGAGAAGGTTTTTTCATTACTCATTAATATGTTCATCTTTCAGAAGGAGCACTTTGCTTTTATTGAATCTTTTTCAATTATCCAGGAATTTCATACCAATGCAACAGTTTTCTCTCAGATGATTGGAGTGTGAGTTTTTTTACTGAACTATTAACTTTGATTTATAAACGAGTGACCGTATCATGTATATAGTCGTGTTATGCAGAAGCAAGGCAGATGGATAGCAGATTGTTTACTACTTTAATTCCATGAGTTCCTGTTCCATTAAGCCTTCCGCTTTATACATTTCTGATAACGAAAGCTCACCAAACGATCAACCGATAGGTCTAAGGTCCGAACCCTGCGTCACCTTCAGTCCGTCCAACCATGTAATATCTCTAACCCTCACACTAAAATTGAGTGACTCAAAGCCGAATACATCAGTCTGTACTTGGTAAACTCGTTACAATCATAATATGGCGTTAGTGATTTCTTGTCTCTCTGGTAAATTCCCTCAGGCCTAACAAGCTGGTAGCCGTAGGTCGTTTTTGAGTTGACTTTTAATTAGTCAGCAATATTCTATTTTAAGTATTGGGTTACAGAGATTGTTGAGTCTCATTAAAGTCGTGAACCAACCAGTGTTAGATCACCATTAAAAACCCGGAAGCACTGGGATCTAACAACAATGGGAGACAGTCGCTCAATATGGATGCCGGCTCAGTAGTCTAGAGGTTAAGCATTTGAGCGCGAGATCGAAGGTCTTGAGTTCGATTGCTGCGTGAGGAGTCGTAGATGCGTACTGCTAAGGTGTCCTATACTGGGACGAAACGGCCGTCTAGTACTCCCAGGTTTTTAATGGTTTTCTAACATTGATCGGCTCATGATTTCAGTGAATATTTAATTTTGTTTTGCGCTCTATAGATCGAACAGTTCGATTTGGTTTTGTCTTATTGAACTATCAAAATTTATTTCTTTAAAGTGTTAAACGATGTATTTGGTATGTTCCTGTTTTATAGTCAGTCGTTTTTACAGTAATCACGGAACACTTAGTTTTTAGATGTATCATACTATTTTCTGAGAGTAAAACTTTCATTTTATTTTGACTCCATTGAATGTCTGTGTACTAATTATTTTAGGACTGAAGCTATCGGCGACACGAATAAAAACCTTATTCTTCCACGGTAAGTTTCTATGCATCGTTATATTCACCTTCCTCTTAGCTTACCAGTGCGGAAAAAAGCCATATCCAAAAAGAAACGTGTTGGTGTTAATAAAAATAAATGGTATGAACTATATTTAATTGGTTTCTGATGATAAATTTTTTCTGTCATTGAAAATTTGACTTTAATTTCCGTTAGTGGTTTGCCTAAAATGAATGAATCATACACCGAAATTATGTATTGAGATAGTAAAGGCGTGTTATATGTATACAGAGCAATTGACTAGCTATATCAACTGAAAACACTAAATGCAGCTTCGCCCGATGGAGTTTTACTTGCAGTATGTGACATGAGTCGTGGGTTACGCACTATTTTTGACATACTCATTTCTACTGAAATTATAGCTTGTTTTTGCTCTGGAATGATTTAAACCCAAACATAAAATGTATGTCACGGATAACTCCCATCAACCTTATCCTTAAGCATTAGTAACAGTCGATTGTTGGGAGCTACATTTGTGTCAGTCAAAGTCAAATTGTGAGTCGTACACACAACTCATCACGTGCCACCAGCACAATTTCCTGTTACGTTCAAAAAATTAAATTGGTTACAAAACGCGTCGTTAAACAAGCCACTCAAGCTTTGATGATGCACCAATAAGAAATACCCTCTAATGAAACCTGTGTGGTTGAATCCTTGGTATGCACTGCACGAATAAATCTTACGAGCAAATATTTTAGGAAGCGGTTATTTTCATGAGTTGTCAGTACTGTGTGCCTTTATACTAAAACCTGTTACAACATCGTTCGTCTCACTAACGAGCTCTAACAATTTCGTATTGCGGAAACAGTATTAGCTACTGGTTATGTCACCTGAACGGGAGTTTTTTTTATTGAATTGTTGTCTCTACTATGCTCGTAAACGAATGTTTTAAATCAACTGGATTTATTTATCGTCTTAAGCAGCTATGGCCAATTCTCAGTCGAGTCAACTAAGAATACCATTTGCTGTGTTCATTTTGTTTTATAACTTTTTCGTTGCCCTAATTCTTGATTTTATTGTCAGTGACTTTCTCGGACCATGCTCTAATATACCTCCGACAGAAGATCCTCCCCAACAATACCCTCCTTTAAGAACGTCGTTTATTGTTGATAGCTTGCCTGGTGTTTTCGCTGTTGACAAACCAACAAATTATGTGATCACAAATTCCTCAACAGTTATTGAAAATAAAGAAGTGGGTTTTTATACAAGGTCCTTTTCACACTCAAATGTGATTTTCCATCTTGATGTTTATAGTTTTATCTCATATTGTGTCTAACAGTGTATTGGTGATTATTTTAGCAGCATTATGAAAACTATCCATTCACTTGGTTTCCCTGTACGAATGTAAACAGAGGAAAATACAAATTTTACTAAATGGGCCAAATTAATCGTATTTTGTTTCTTCTCAGTTACACTTGAGATAATTTAGGCTAATCATTAAAAAAATTTACATAGATAACTCACTAGCAAATAACTTGAATAGACAAAATAAAAAATGTTATAAACAGACTTTTTAAGTACTTTTGTACTAAATCGATATGATTATTTTTGCTGCATATTACAATGTGCAATATAAATTTCAATTTTTTTAAACTCAACTATTAAATTATTACAATTTCCACAAGAAACCCTTCTGATAATGATCATCATGTGCTCACTAGTGACTGGCTTCAAGAGGTATTTTTTTGAATTATTATTTCTCAACTTCATCTTTCTTAACGATATAAAGAGCTGTTAAAGTTGATTTAGATTGGAACAACATATTGTTTTCGATTAGATCCTCATCAGGCTTTACCCTAATATACAGTAATATTTCTATGCATATAAGAACATTATTAAACCAATCAAGGCTACATTTTTCATCACTTGATTCATATCGGATATGAAGCCGACTTAAATACACTTTCAAGTTTTTTATCGTATCCCATTTAATGTACTGTAAACAACCGAGAACATTGGGTTACATCTGCAGAAACTAACAATATGTATTGAAGAGAAATCTATCGTACTAACCTCATTACCTTGCTAATCAATACGACTTAATCCGATACAAACTACCCTAAGTTGCCAATGTAATATTCTTCGACTTCTTTTTTCTCTTCTGAATTAAACTTCTTGGGTTTTGTTCCTCACATAATCATTACTAATATTCATCTTTTATTTCTTACGTAACTGCAAGCTGCTGCTTCAGGACTGGTCTGCGTCAACACCTGAACTAAGGATAGGGAGTGAAGTAGTCGAACGCGTTTACAACTTCACTTATCTTGGAAGTCTGATCAGTCCTAATGAGTTGGTGTCTAACGAAATCTCAGCACGGATTCGAAAAGCTCGCTTGACTTTTGCCAACTTGCGCCACCTATGGCGAAGACGAGATATCCGTCTATCAATAAAAGGACGAGTATACTGCGTGGCAGTCCGTTCTGTTTTAATTTACGGCGGCGAAACATGGCCATTAAGAGTAGAAGACACCCGTAAGCTACAAGTATTTGACCACAGATGCCTTAGAAATATTGCTGGCGTCTGCTGGGATCACCGGGTAAGTAATAGTGAGGTTAGACGCAGGGTATTAGGGAATGATGGTAAATCAGTTGATGAGGTTATGAATCTTCATCGACTGAGATGGTTGGGCCACGCGTTACGTGTACCTGAACACCGATTACCACGACGTGCAATGCTAACCGGTGTTGGGGATAGTTAGGAGAAAGTAAGTGGCAGCCAAACCAAAACGTGTTATCGGTGCTTGTAGTCACTAACTTCTAGTCTGAGCCATGTTGGTAGATGCAGACTACCTGGTTGGGGTCCGGGTGCCTATCGTAACCAATGGTTGGAGACTTTTGGTGACGTGGCTGAGAATCGATCACAATGGCGTCGGTGTATACACGCTGTCTTCCCTTAAACTAAGAGATTAAAATCGCTTCATATTTTTCTTTCTACGAACTAATTCTTTCTTCCTGTACTATATCCTCATTGCAATCTTTCTTTTATATATTACCACCTCTGAATTAACTGCTTTTATGAATCCGGTGTTCATCTTTTTGTGTTGATGAGGTATGGCAACTTGGACTGATGAATATATGTGCATTGCAGCTGACTGACTGACTGACTACGTAACTGTTATTAATATTCAACCTCGTAAACAATTTTGTGACTTGCTGGTCATTATACAACTTGTCGGTTTTGTAACTACATGCTTCGGTTCATTCATTAAGTAATAGTCTTGGATATTACAAGTACTGTTATGTATGAAGATTTCTGTTATTTGATCAGTCGAAATGCTGAATGTTAAAATCGATGACTAGAATACTAATCAATAGATGAAGTCAACAATATAATTCGACTGAAGGAATGGCTACTCACGAGACCGTTTAATTGAGTTACACCCCCGAATGATTGGAAATCAAAGACAAAACCACTAGGCAGATGAATAGTTTTCCATGTTATTATTATTTTATTATTTGGACAGATGAATATTGGTACAAAAGAGCGCCAATATATATGCGCCACACAGAACAATGAATATTCGAAGAGGAATACAAAGAAAGAAAAAAAAAGAAGCTAAGGAGCACAAAAAAAGAGAGAACAATAACGAAGAGATTGGTGTAAGGTAATGTGCTAGTAATCAGGGAACGCAAAGATACAATCGGAAGAAATCTTTCAGGTAAGGGAGACACAACCACTTTTTATGAAGAAAGTAAAAGAAGGTTACAGCAGGATCACCACTGGCTTCTATTCTGAGCCATATCTGATAACGTCTCTAGCCACTGTGTTGCACCATCTCTCGGACCCCAACTAGGGAGTCGTGAAGGACCAACACGAGCCAGCCCATTGCAGCTTTCTTTCATACCACGACACCATGTCATGCACTGACCACCTCTCCGCTTCTTCCAACCAGTCCCAGAGTCGGCAAATAATGCACGACGTGGAATTCTCTGGGACGACATTCGTAAAACATGTCCAAGTCTCCGAAGTCGGTGTTTCAAGATGATGACGCCAATTGGGTTATCATCTCTGTGCCCGAACACACGATGCCGAACCTCTGCATTACTGACATGGTGTTGCCACTGAATGTCAGCAATCCTTCGGAGACAGCGATGATCGAACACAGAGAGTCGTCTAACGTCCTCAACTCGGAGAGGCCAGGTTTCACAAGCATAGAGCAAAACTGCTCTCACCGACGCGTTGTAGATCCGACCTTTTACAGCCAGACTAACATCACGAAGGCGTCAAAGATGGCCCAGATTGGCATAAGCCGCTCTGGCTTTCATTATACGTGCATTGATCTCATCACTCACACCCCCACCAGCACTTATGCAGCTACCCAGATACACGAACTTCTCGACTACTTCTATCTGCTCACCATCCAGGGTGAGTACAGGATTAGAATCCTGTCAGTCTTGTAGAAGTACTTTGCACTTCGAAGGTGCAAAGCACATACCATACCTACGGACACTGATTGCCAACTGATGAAGTGCGGATTACATGGCTTGGACATTATCGCACAGTAAGACAATATCGTCCGCATACTCAAGGTCGAGAAGTCTTTCTCCAGCCAACAGATCCACACCACCATTACTTACATCCATCAGAGCTGTTTCCAGAATGTCATCGATGGCAAATTTGAAGAGGAATGGTGAGATTGGGCAACCCTGTCTAACCCCACTACTCGAATGGAACAATGGAGAGAGGTGGTTGTATGCCCTCACTCTGCCTGAGGTGTTTGTATATAGGGCTTTTAGGATGTTAATAAACTTCTCAGACACACCCTTCTTCAATAGACAATCCCAGAGAACAGTCCTGTCCAACGAATGGAAGGCAGCCCTGATGTCAAGAAACACTACGATCGCTGGCCTTTGATAAGAATGGCGATGTCCTAACATTTGGAGGAGGGTGAAGATATGATCAATACATCCTCGACCAGAACGAAACCCAGCCTGCTCCTCGCGAATCAATCTTTCTCGAGTTTTGAACAACCTACGAAGAATGACGGAAGCCAATAGCTTGGACGCAATCGGAAGTAGACTTATCCCCCGATAGTTGTTGCAGGAAGGACGTGAACCCTTTTTAAAGATAGGGACAACTATCGACTCATTCCATGACGTTGGAATACTCTCTAGTTCCCAGATCTTTGTAAACAACGTCGTCAATTCCTTAGTCAAAAAGTCACCACCATCTTTAAAAAGAGCCGGAGGTAAGTCATCTGGGCCAGGTGATTTGTAACGCTTCAAGAGTTGGAGTTCCTTGCGGACTTCCTCCTCGTTTGGTGGATCAGTCGTCACCGGCCATGGAGGGCAGGACAGTCTGACCGATGTTGCCGGAGCAGCAGGCCAGTTGAACTGCCCTTCGAAAAATTCTGCCCACCGTCCAAGACGTCGATGGATGTTAGTGATTGGCATCCCATCATCTTCGCAGATTGTTTCACTCACACCAGACTTCTTGCTGCCAGTGTCTCGGATGAGCTGGAAGAGCTTCCGGTAGTTACCAGATGCAGCTGCTGCTTCCAGCTCATTAGCACGCATCGACCACCAGGCTTCTCGGTCCTTATGCAAGCTTTGCCCAATTTCCTCACGTAACACCCTTCGTTTATGGTCAAACACACGGTCACCCGGAGTAGACCGACGGGCTTCAATGAGTTGTAAGGAACCTGGAGAAACCCAGTGCTTAAAAGCGGGACGTTTCGCAAACCCACAACTGACTGTTCCCGCCATTTTCATGGCGTCATGCAATTGCAACCAATGCTCATCTATACTTTTCGGTGGAGTGGTAGCTAGCCTAGAGGCTAGCTCGGTTCGATACTTACTTGCAACAGGAGTTGCAACAAACTTGCTGACATCAATCCGTTGATGGCGTTCACTTCGTTGTCCACTGAAAAGTAAGGCAAGATTGGCGCAGACCAAGGCATGGTCAGAGTCCAGATAGGTACTCCAAAAGGAGCGGCAGTCTTGTACACAACCACGCCAGCGGTAGCTGATCGCGATGTGATCAATCTGAATCCAGGCTTGAGATGCAGAGGGAGGACGCCAGGTGGCACATCGGCGATGACTGTGCCGAAAGTTAGTGCTAGCCAGAAACAGGTTGTGGTCTGTGCACAGTTGCAGAAGACAGTCCCCGTTATCTGACCTGCGACCAACGAGTCCCCATCGGCCACCTAAACGACTCTCTTCTGTGCCTAGACGCCCGACGTGAGCATTCAAGTCTCCGGCTAGTACTACAATATTTGTCGAACGCACTTTCTGGAGAAGAACAGTTAACTGGTGGTAAAACTCATCCTTGATTGCATACGGGCTGCAATCTGTCGGGGCATAGGCGGAGATGACGAAAAGATATCGTTTCTCACGCCGATTTCTCCTCACTTTGATGGAACTTTCTAATCTAACAGCACATAACCGACTGTTAATGGGGATCCAATCGACTAGTGCTGCCTCAGCTCTAGCGCTTAGTGCGACACCAACGCCAGCAAGACCAGACGAAGATGCCACAGGGTCCCCGGATAAGCGCACGTAAAACAAGCTTTTTGAAGTGACAGATGGAGAGCGAATTTGTAGTACTTCACCAGAGTCTTGAATACGGGTCTCGGATAGACAGCAGACATCGATATTAAGACTTTCCAAAGACATAGCCAGCCCTATCTGTTGACCAACCTGCATAAGTGTGGGAACGTTGAAGGCAGCCAATTTGAATGGTGCACGTGGTTTCAGAAAAACTGCTTCAGTACTCATATTCGATGGTAACATACAATTTTCGACCGGATAGTGACTCGAGAACGTTTAGATATCGTCGAATTTCCACCAAAGACGAGCCGCTGTATAAGTATAAAAGAGGGTGAATAATGTGGAAAATAATAATAATAATGACAATAATGGTAATAATAATAATAGTATTAATAATGACAATAATAGTAATGATAATTATTTGGATCGATTGATTGTTTTTCGGAGCGAGAAAAGTAGTTGCCATAGACATAGAGTTCATTGTTTGTGTGAGGGCTGTGATACTGCCCGGGTGCCCAAACCGAAGCAGGTGGTTATCTTAGGGGGCCACTCCCCGAGCCTTTGACCTAAAGGTCTAACCCACAAGGCAGTGGAGCATCGTAAGGAGATGCAATCCCATGGTAGCCGGTGACCAAAGATTCGTTCATACGCCATTTGTTCCCGCAGGATACTGGAGCCCATGTGCACCATTGATTTGGAATCCGGTTAAATAGCATGCTTATACGCAGAGTATGAATGAAAAATAATGGTGATAAAATGTTATAAGTGATTGGGGTAAATCAATTTGTAGATCACTCATTATTTAATCAATGAAGAGCTGACTGTTGCGTCTAATCTTTGAGCATCGTATCAACCCCGTATTCTTGCTCTAGTCATCCATCATTGTCTTCATAAGGTTTTCTGATTTATAATTTTGTAATTTGTTCTATGGCATATTAATGTGCAACCGTGTTGAAAAGCTAGTTAGAAACAAGTCCCCTTTTTTGTGCTTTCAAATGTCTGAATTGAAATTCTTATTTTATTTTTTATTCAAATAGAATATCCCAATCACAGAAGCTTCAATGATGCATTCAACCTCACCCTTTTCAAAAGACTCATCACTTTTCAAGGATCTCTTCGACAGCAACGACGGTAAGAAATTGCTGACATTTGTTTATATCTAATACGATGAGTACTTGAATTTCCACATGTATTTGTGGATAGTTTTTCAATAGTACTTTCGACTGACTGCATCATGCAGTTATGAAAAAGTCACGTGTTTTATATTTCAGTATTTGTGTGGACAAATAGTGCAGATGTAGGGGCAAAACTATGTTGTACGGACGCCCTTAAGCGACTAATTGAAATCAAGATTGTCGATGTTAAATATTAGCGCGAATTTAAAACTCATTATGGATAACTTGTTGATAGATATAATGTTTTCGACTGGATTTTGTATTTTATGGGTATTGCTCTTCTTGTGGGATGAACAGTGCGATTCAGGATGTGTTAATGTTAGAACGGTAGGGATAATAATTAAAAATAAGGTTGAATTATACCTGCGAACAACCTTCAAGTCCCAGCACTTATAGCCAGTCAGGCGATGCCAATGATGAACGATTTACGTATTGTGCTAAAAATCAGGATGTAGAGCTTGATTTTAGGAATTGCATCATAACTGACGTCAGTTCGTGATAAAAACCCTAACTCTTTCACAAAATTTATACTCTTATTGGCTAGCATCCGATTTGTTGGTTTAAGGGTTACTTGTTAAATCTCGTAAAGCCGTCCCTATAGTATAGCTTTACCAGGCGAAGATGTGTGACTTCAGTGACTTCCATTCAAATTAGGCACGATCGTTATTTCCCATTTTTTTGTTATTCACGAAATCTATCATCTGATTTTCATTTTGTTACGCTTATATGTAAAATATTTGGACAATGATCCAGTTAAAGGACAGAGGAAACGTTACATCAAAAATGACATTTTTGGCACTCAATATTCTTCTCTCCAAACTGTTCGCTGTTGATCAGACAATCTATTATAGGTTCGCCCATTATATTTTACCATTAAAGCTGTTTGATCATAGGGAAATAATGATTTACAATTAATCCTAAGTTGACATAATAGGTTTGATATCAAGGGCTTGTGTTAACTGATACAAATCAGAACACTTATGTGACCCTTGTTCAGGTCATTATAGTCATATCTATTGGTTATGTTGTATACAGCTTCTTGTAACCTCTCATCTATGTACATTTGTCATGTGTAGTTGTCTATCTTCGTTCGTTGATTTTACCCTTCGTTCATTTGAAAAGTGACTGAGGCACAAAATTATGTAACGAATTAGCTGGTATTGTCAATTCCAACACTGAATTTACGCGATTATTCTGTTTGTCTGCTAATACGCTTGCCTGAAATACAATCTTCCCATCATGTTGAATCTATAGCTTTTAATATCACTGTTGTCCAAATAGGGTCAATCGAATTATATGCGAAACACAAACTTTAGAGATAAGTAAATTATAGTCAGATATAAATACAAAGTTAATGAACGCTCATTTAAAATGAGAAATATCTTAGTTTCCCTTTTAGACTGAATATATATTAAAAATAGTTAATATGAATTGTGTAGTGTAGATCTAAACTTCTGTATTTTTTCCGCTGCAAATCTCTCCTTATGAGTCACCCTTTATTTTTATTACGTTTAGAGACATTATCTTATTCGTACGTGTCCTTGTTATATCTTAAATCTTTTTCGAAAATAAACAACAGGTTAACAGGGTGGACATCATTAGTCCATATTGTAATTGACTATTAATTTAAACTGTTTACGGGAAGTATAAACTTTCTAGTTGCGTGCCTCACGATAATTGTAGCCTGTGGTTTGAGATCTTGAATATTTTGGCTTAGTATCATATACGCTATGATAGATTCATTCCATCTTTATTTACCTCTAAATCTTGAAATGTGTTACTATATCATACTTTTCGTTCTCTGATCTTATTTAAGTTTTTGGTCAGCTAATTATTGCAATGGAGCGAATATTGGGAGATTTTTAACTTTTGCAACATTTTTACGGAGAACTCTTATTTGTTTCTTTATTGAATAATGACTAGGTAATTAGATTGTTGGGTTTTTATATTCTCTGCACTGTAGCTTCCGCTCGGACTCATTAACTATTGTTATACGTCTTCTGTTCCCAACTTATTGTTCAACTTTTCATCCGTTTTTTTAAAAACAATTATGATCTAGTCGTTTATAAACTATGATTTCTTATATGGGGTGTGGTGTAATCTGTGAATTAATGTATATAATTTTATGACTGTTTAAGTTATGGTAACTGGAAGAATGTATTATTGGATGATTGAGCAAAGATAGAAGGTTTACTTGCTCGTCGTGTTCTGGTGTCCGACTTAATGAGGGAATAAAAGGGTATGGGTTCTGGACCAATAGGAATTAAAGATATCCCGATCACATCTTAAAGTTAGTTGTTAATAGTAAAAACAAAACATCAGTTAATAAACTAGAAAGTATACTCGGGATTGAGAATTATCAACTTGATTCTGAATAATGACTTTTTTCTAGTGATTGATTAAGGTGTGAATACGTAAATTCAACAATTCTAACACTACTGGCTCTGTTCTGATATTTACACGTTACTTTCAGCATTTATTTGAATGGTCACTCTGAATGTTTGTCGATCACCAGTCACGATAAGAGTATTTTACCATAATTACGTAGAGTAAAATAAATCTGCTAGTTGAATTTTTCATGTTATTACAGATTACTCTATTGAACTTACAAATCTCTCCAATAATTTTATGACTAGTGAAATATTAACGCCTTCTGCTAAGTTATCTCCAAATAATAATACAAATATAATCACTTCCGCAGTAGCACATTCTCAGGTAAGTCCCAATTTCATAAAATATCGTTGCTGTTCAAAATTTTATGTTTATTTCTATCTTATTTATTTTATTATACAATATATAGGTTGTTATACTTTTACGTTTTGTCCTGATTATTTTTTGATGTGTCTGTACAAATCGTGCTACTTTACTGTGCTGTCAAAAAATATTTGATAGGTATATAATCCATCCAAGGATTCTAACTCAACGAATGATTGACGTATATAATTCAGAATACAACAAACTTCATTAGTAGTGATATCGTTCAGAGTAAACAAAGTTTCGAAGAGTATCGACGAAGAGATTATGAAAAGCTTTTACAACTGCGGGAACAAACTGACAGACCTTAGTTGGAATGACTTGTTGGGACTGAAATGCGTTAGATATCAGAACTTACAAACTTTCGAAATAGATTAGCATAACTCTGATTTAAACTACATATTTCAATGAGAAGTTTCTTTTTGGTGTTTTCACTTCCAAAAACTATTCATTCCGTTTTATATGAGATGAACAGTGTTATTAACAATTTTTGCGTTTTCATTTGTGAAACTGCAGTGTATCGGCATAAAATGTTTTCTTCATTTATCTGGCCGTGCGAATCCTTAAGATTTCGTCCTGAATATCACTGTCGAGTAGCAGATCAATATGTGTATTATTCAGTGCGTTCATATCTTTGGTAGGACTTTGGGTAGAGTACCGTTTGTAACTCTCATACAACAATTCTTACTCGAATTTTTGTTGTACTGGAATCTAAATTAGCTTGTCACGTTGCATAAATTTCTGGTAGTAGGAATCCTTTGCTTAGAGAAGTTAACGCAAATTTTAGTGCTAGTCACTAATAACTTTCATTATTCAGAATGAGACATAATTTAAAAGAAAATTTAGGTTTTCTGAAAGAAGACTTATAAAAACCAAATCAATTATATAGGATTCTCTGTATATGTCTGTCATTATAGTTAGCCTAAATACTATTTTCGTTACCTGTGTTTGCAAGATACTTTATGTGTTATTTAGAGGTTGCTTAACTTTCCATAAGGCTTTCAAATAGGTTATTCATAGAAACTATGAAAATTTATAACTGGCAAAGTTGCAATTTGTATAAGCAATATTTTCTAACATGATTTGAACTACACTCCCGTTCACTCTACTTACCACTAGCCTGCATATTTTTCTGTCGAAATATGTAGTACGAGCTTAGATTGCTATATTTTTTTATTGAGTCGTACATTTGGATTTTCGGATACAATTTTAAGCTTTTTTTATTCCGAACTTTTAAGCAGGCGTCAGTTTCCGAGTCTCAAGACAATAAATCATATTCACCCAGTACTCAGTATTTTTCTGTTCAGAATGGTAAGTCATTTATCCAATTACTGATGTTATAGTTTTTAAATATCCATTACATTTGACTTATAAGTAGAATATCTTTGCTTCTTTTTTGACTACAATCAATAAGTCTACGGCTCTTTGTACAGTTCTGGTCAGGAGTCTTTATTATTATTATTATTATTATTATTTATTTATTTATTTATTTATTTATTTATTTATTTATTTATTTTAACACATAGATATTGTTACAAGGAGGCGCCAAATACATATGCACCACACAGATCTCATTTGATATGTGTGAGGGCTGTGATACTGTCCGGGTGCCCAAACCGAAGCGGGTGGTTTTCTTAGGGGACCACACCGGGAGCCTCCGACCTGAACGTCTGATCCACAAGGCAGTGGGGCAACGTAAGGAGATGCATTCTCATGGTGGCTAGTGACCAACGATTGGTTCACACGCCATTTTTTCCTTAAGGATACTGGAACCCATGTGCACCATTGGTTTGGAATCAGGGTTTTCCAACTCCCCTAGGTGGACCCTCCATGTCCACCAACCCGGTTAAAGCGCCGGACATCCGCTTGTCGTCCTCTCAATTTCGTAAACAACACTCCCGCTACAAGAAGGCAGTGAGTAGGACTTCCATGGAAGAGGCTATATACGCGTGGCCATGTGAGAGCATTTCGAGAGAGGGAGCGGACTCTCCCCACTCTCGGCCATACCAGAGCATTTGGGGGTCAATGATTGATGTCTCTTCACTTCGATTGAGTGCCAACAGAAAAATCTCACAGAAGGGGAAGTGAGTTTAGACGTTTCATATTTTGAAAGCCAGATGAAATCGCATGTCTCAAGAGTACGCGGTAGGCGATAAATCACAAATGAGGCATGCTATTAGAAAAAGTGGTTTATATACCCTAATCAACGTCTTAGCTTTCATGTCGTTGTATGTTTCAGTCAGGGCCCAGCATATAAACACCTATAACTTGTGTTCATTGTTATAGAATTTTAAATTCAAGCTTTTTAGCCAATTACCAAAAATCGTTTCAAGTCATTTAAAAAAAAACTAATCGTAAAGACTTAACAATTTTACTACAGGTCAGATCTTAGTGATATTCTCTTTTAACTGAGCGACGTTTCTGTAAGTGTTATGCAGTCTACATACACATACACACATCTACTAATTACATTTCTCTTGAAATTCGAATTTAGGGTCTCTCAGTAATTATAAAATTTTGTTTCTATACTATTATTATTATTATTATTATTATTATTATTATTATTATTATTATTATTATTATTATTATTATATCAGCAAGCGATTTCTCAAATCTGAAAACTTCGATTTCTTCAGTTACGGAAATTAACTCAGATGGACAGGTTAGTGTTTGCTGTTAACATATGAGCTAATAATTATAATAATGCCTTATATTCATTTGTCCCTTGTTTGGTAGGTAACGTTAATAAAAATGTGAGAATTAACCCGAAATTCCATCTGTTTTCAAGGTTGTTTCTTTTTTAAATCATTTCTTCATATTTATTTATATTAAACACTAAAACACCTGGAATCTATTTAGCAATTTTACGTAAGATGTTTTGTGAATGGTTAAAATTGCTGTCAATTTCCTATGTATATAGTTATGATTAACCGTTGTTGATACTATGGTAGCTACTCTTAACTTGTACAGTAAATTACTTGTAGAATCGTTCTATGTACTATCAACGGATTGTTTTATCATGAAATATAGTTGTGGTTGTCAGAGTTTCTTCTTTAGACATTATGCTTTGACATTTTGGGTGAACTATCAGTTTTTGTGGTTGTCGGTTTTTAGTGAATTTGTCCACACCTTTTTTTAGAAGGTATCATAGTTTTTAATTGATGGATTTACTATTGAAACGTGAAACTGTCTTTAAAAGTCTCAGGTGATAATGAACATTGAAAATTAAAGGGTAGTATGCATTTGTTTCACTCGAGGTGCTTCATTATTGTGTTTAACATATGATTCTATTTTATTTCTCCCATTTTATTCCAGATAACCGACCCACTGCTTGAATCAACCTGTGGGTTGTGCAATAAAACTGATTTAAAAAATCACTTCATTGTTTCTAATACTGACGAACAAAATATGAATGGTAAATAGATCTAATATTTCTATTGTTTCGTATTATTTTATCCTTCGAAGTTTTGAGTACGCTTTATTGTATGGGTATTTCTTTTTAATATCTATTAACTGTTTGTGTCTGTTGACCGTTGTAAAGATTTTTCATGAGTTTATGAATCATTTTCTGTCAAGGTGTTTGGAATATGTCTTGCAGGATCCTAATCCTGTACTCACCCTGGATGGTGAGCAGATAGAATTAGTCGAGAAGTTCATGTATTTAGGTAGCTGCATAAGTGCTGGTGGTGGCGTGAGTGATGAGATCGATACAAGTATAGTGAAAGCCAAAGCAGCTCATACCAATCTGGGCCATCTTTGGCGCCTTCGTAATGTCAGTCTGGCTGTAAAAGGTCGGATCTACAACGCGTCGGTGAGAGCAGTTTTGCTCTATGCTTGTGAAACCTGGCCTCTCCGAGTTGAGGATGTTAGACGACTCTGTGTTTGATCACCGTTGTCTCCGAAAGGTTGCTGACATCCAGTGGCAACACCATGTCAGTAATGCAGAGGTTCGGCATCGTGTGTTCGGTCACAGCGACGATAACCCAATTGGCGTCACCATCTTGAAACACCGACTTCGGAGACTTGGACATGTTCTACGAATGTCGTCCCAGAGAATTCCACGTCGTGCATTATTTGCCGACTCTGGGACTGGTTGGAAAAAGCGGAGAGGTGGTCAGTGTATGACATGGTGTCGGAGTATGAAAGAAAGCTCCATAAGGCTGGCTTATGTTGGCCCTTCACGACTCCCTGGTTGGGGTCCGAGAGATGGTGCTACACAGTGGCTAGAGACGTTATCAGATATGGCTCAGAATAGAAGCCAGTGGCGATCCTGCTGTAACCTTCTTTTACTTTGTTCATAAAAAAGAGGTTGCATCTTTCTTCTGAAAGATTTCTTCTGGTTATACGTTTCCGTCTCCCCCATTATTATTATCATTATTATTATTACACTACCTTACACTAATCTGGTCGTTATTTTTCTTCTTTTTTTCTTCTACGCTTCTTACCTTCTTTCTTTTCTTCCCATTCTCATTGTTTTGTGTGGCGCATATATATTTGGTGACCCCTTGTACAAATATTTATATGTTCAAATAAATAATGTCTGACAGCCACTTCCCACTCCCAACGTGGTAGTTTGTTTTGAGGAGGGTAAGTAGCTGTTGGACTTAGGGGTTTTATCCATTCATGATGTCATAGTCTTTGGAGTTGATTTATGTAAGCGGCTGTGAACCTTTTATTTGTCGCTTGCTAGACAATCGTATTCAATGGTTGGTATCATTGGCTTTCACACTGCACGTATGGTTCAAAAATCTTAGTATATAAACACATTTATTTCAATGGTTGAGATCATGAGTCAATTGAAGCTAGACCACCATGAAACGCTTGGAAGCGCTGGACGGCTGTTTCGTCTCATTGTGGGAATCCGCAGCAGTGCGCATCCACTACCTCGCCTCACGAGATTCGAACCCCAGGACCTATCAGTCTCGCACGCGAGCGCTTAACCAATAGACCACTGAGCCATAAATATTTATTTTTCAAGTCACACTAATGATACTATGTTTTATTTTCAGGTCAAAGTGTTGATGTAACCATAAACGCAACATCGCCGACCCTTCATAAGGATCCATCTATTGTTAATTGTGTACGGGACTCAGTTGTTCAGGTTAGTTCTCGTCATTCATTAATGAATGTCTCGTTTTTATTATTGTGTTATAAATATGCTGTATGTCTGATATCTTAGATTTTAATGAATTTCCATTATGACAGTTTGTAGAGAAACTCATGACTAACTTTGATTAAAAGTGTTCTGATTTCATGGACCAAATTGATATTCAGTGATTTGATACCGCGTCTTTTTTCTATATATATCTGACCCAATTATCATCACACTTCTTTTAGTCATAGTCGGATATTTTCAAATTGCAGATTATGAATCTCAGTCGTTCTAAGTTCTCAAAGATTGTGCTAAATCTCAAAACTGTTTTACCGATAGTTCTATCACTGAAGAACGTAGCCAATGGGTTTTTTGTGAAATTTCAAGATCTATTGTTAATCATTCTATCAACGCACGCGCTGACAACTTCACTTATCTTGGAAGTCTGATCAGCCCTAATGGGTTGGTGTCTGACGAAATCTCAGCAAGGATTCGAAAAGCTCGCTTGGCTTTTGCCAACTTACTTCACCTATGGCGAAGACGAGATATCCGTCTATCAATAAAAGGACGAGTATACTGCGTGGCAGTCCGTTCTGTTTTAATTTACGGCAGCGAAACATGGCCATTAAGAGTAGAAGACACTCGTAAGCTATTAGTATTTGACCACAGATGCCTTAGAAATATTGCTGGCGTCTGCTGGGATCACCGGGTAAGTAATAGTGAGGTTAGACGCAGGGTATTAGGGAATGATGGTAAATCAGTAGATGAGGTTATGAATCTTCATCGACTGAGATGGTTGAGCCACGTGTTACGTATGGTCGAACACCGATTACCACGACGTGCAATGCTAACTGGTGTTCGGGCTGGTTGGAAGAAAGTTAGGGGCGGCCAAACCAAAACGTGGCATCAGTGCTTGTAGTCACTAACTTCTAGTCTGAATCATGTTGGTAGATGCAGACTACTTGGTTGTGGTCCGCGCCACTATCGTAACTAATGGTTGGGGACTCTTGATTATATGGCTGAGAATCGATCACAATGGCGTCGGTGTATACACTCTGTCTTCCCTTAAACTAAGAGATTAAAATCGCTTCATATCTTTCTTTCTATGAACTAATTCTTTCTTCTTGTACTATATCTCTATATGCAATCTTTTTCTTACATATTACTACCTTTGACCTAACCACTGCAATGAATCCGGTGTTCATCTTTTTGTGCTGATGCGGTATGGCAACCTGGACCGATGCACATATGTGCCTGGTCCTACTTTGTAGCTGACTGACTGACTGAATGGATAAGCACAGTACTCACTGTGTGATACACCACAGTTCTAAGCTATGGACACATTAATAGTGAGCATTTTTTTTCAAATGATCATGGAATATATAGAAAAGGATGGACGTTGTGAATGTAGCACATCAACAGTATTTGTATTCTGACCAGTCTATCATTTCATTAGGAAATCCTGCAATGACGTTAGTTCATTCACAAGAAGTTACCATTTATTATTTGTATACTAATAGCCTAAATACGGTTCAAATTTCACCAATCTCTTATCCTCGTTTTATTAACACTTCTATGATTATTTTCGAAGTTGAATCACAATTTCACATTCTGATTTCTTACTACAAACATATCATTTTTATCATTATTGTTATTCTACCTATCTAGTTCGTTCAAGGAATAAAGAGGAAATTTTCGCCGAAGGGGACTTGGGTTAAACCACTAATGGGTCGTATTCTGAAGCCGATTTCTGGGAATGAACTACAGGTAAGTGATGTAAAAATCTATTTATATCTACTAAGCAGTAACCTTCAGTTAATGTTACCAATCAGTGTATGTTGTAATTCTATACGTATCATTTTATTACAAACTAGACTTTATTATCTTTCTTGCATTTTAACGGTATATGCCGAAATCATTATTACTTTCAGCTGTCTCTTTTTAATGTATTACATTGTACAACGTCGACTATATGAAAAACTGTGTTTAATAAATTAGTTAATAAAATCGTTAACAACCTTAACTTTGAACTTTTGTCTGTTTCTAGACAAAACATTTTTCTATCAGTAACAGAAAATAAACATAGATGTAGCCACGATACATCAAATAAATTAAAGTCTAAGAGAAATTGACAATTTTCCCAGTGTAAAGATCTTTTTTTTTCTCGACTATTTGTAAAATAGTTTGTGAAAGAGGGACCTACCTAAAATAAGTTAGGCAACCTCATAAAGGTTAACAATTTAAAACTGGAATTAAGTTGATCAAATAGTGTGTAGTCAGGGGAATCAATTAATACCTATATAAAATCTGCTTAAAAACACTTTGATTGTTTTGTTTTTCATCCAGTTTTCATATTGTTACTGCCATCGTTTTAATTTTAAACTTGAGTGTAGATTAAATTAGTGAGATCAAGTACTATCAAATAATCCAATTAAAAGCAAAGCTTGTGGATCACAACAATGGGCTCTTAAATAGTGGGAAGTAGGTTCAAACCCTACCTTATTCTCTCTAGGTTGAGGTACCTGGTAGTCCACATTATATTACATAGAACTATACTTGGTAAATTGGTTATTGGACGAATATTTATTGGGTTACTTTCAATCACATCTTAAAGACATGTTAGGATTTGTCTCTTTGTCACAGTTTTATCCATACCACCTTTGCTAAATGGATAGTGAAGTGTTGATCGACTGTCATTTTCGTTGCCAAATGTTATTCGTTTATAACTTTTCGTATTTTTTGTTCCTCATATACTGTAGAAATCCGTTTTTTAATTCATTGTTTATTATGTTTTATGAAGTCTGATGCTAAGCGTCCACGAAAATTCGTTTCAACCCATTCTCCCACTGCTTTGACATCTGCCATTACTGTTTCATCCCCTATTATATCGAGTATATCGTTGACAGATACTAATAGTTCACTTGGAAATCCGGGATTTTCTTCATACACACTTAATAGATCAAAATCTTATCCTTGTAATCCTGTAAATACCCCCAGTTCCCTGCCGATAGTTCGTCTGAGAGAACGACAGCGTAATCCACTGCATAAAGTAGTTTCCTCCAGTAATAGTAGCGTGAGTCTCCTAATTTTTATTTCTTTGGTACAATATAACCCCATGAAATCATCAGTATAAGTTTCTTGATAATTTGGTTAATTTTTTATGTGTTAATATTCTGTTGATTGTTCTGTATGCTTCATAGGCGATTAGCGTTTGTGGTATAGATAGACTTGTGGCCAGTAGCAAAATTCAACACTCGCACTTTGTTCTACTTGAAACTCGTCAGCTGGATTATACCTGCATTCTACCAGTGTTGGTGTTCAAATAATGATATTGATATCCTGTGGAATAAGTAACTCAGTGGATGATAACACTTTGGACGTTTGATGCTAAAGGTAATAGGTTTGAGTCCTGCCGTGTACATCAGCATTTTCATGTACGTAAATCCAGCTAACGAGCTCCAAATAGGACTGAACGCACGTCCTGAATTTCACTGCTAGTCAGAAATTCACCTATTCTATAAATATTTGTGAAAGGTGGCTAGACGGCGGCAGTCCGCACATGATACTCTTACAACGACTGAACACTTGTTAATTAGTGTCTAAATCTGACCTTAAATCACACTCGGTTAACTTTCTATGCATTCTTAGGCTAAATCTCGATTTATACTTAACTTTATTTCCACTTGAGATATTGAAAAGCCAAATATGAAATTGGTTGGAATTTATTTTTTTACGGAAGCATTAGCAGACCAAGTGTATATAAGTCAGACCAGAATAGAATATATGCAAATTTAAATATGAGTGTATATGTGATTTATTTATTGAGTATATCTACAACCAATAAGAGAATATATGAAAGGAGACACTGGATATGCACACATTCACGCGAACATTGGAATATACATAACTGATCAAATATCTGAGCTACAAAAAGCAATTACTAGAAATACAATTACATTTTTATCTGCCCATAGAAAGGTAGTTTTTATGTTCATATAGTTGAAAAGAGTTTGCTACAATACATTTATGTCAACAAAAACTGATCAAGATTCAGTCAAGATTATCAACAATGGATTAATTTGAATCGTTCGTAGTAATTATACAAATAGCGTTTTTGTCAGACAGTGAGTGTAAAACTGCCTTAAGAGTGTACAAAGGAAAGTCTGTAATAATTCACTTGCTGATTTTTTATAGACGGAAGTGCATTTTCTCTAGTGTCTGGATTCCTTGTGTATTCAGTAATTTTAGCAATTAATCGCTTGTCCACAATTACTCTACTATCCAGAAACAATGAAATACTCTGAACAATTATTCCATCGTATTTCCTTTTTTTCATCAGATTTTCCTTAATATATTTCGTTTCGAAACTGTAGATTTTAAAATCAACCTATTCCACTGAATCTCCGTCATGCTCTGTAACTAATAGTATAAACAAACAAAAACCACTGAGTAACTGTGAACAAAGGATTCTTAAAAGTGTAAGTTTTATTTTCAATGATCTTTTTTCGTTTCACAGTATCCTTTTATGTGATTGCTAACTGTTTAGTGAATTGTTATTAGCCAAAAATATATTCTCTAACCCATGTATTTTCCTGTACTTTGTGGAAACTCATATTTAGTAATTCTATTTCATACTATCATTTTGTTGATCTTTGTCTGCCTTAAATTATTCTCCTATCACTTGATGTTTAATGGGCTATGCTAGTGTATAGCACACATCATTATGTAGTCTCCGTCGTTTAGGTTCCATAAACTCAATAATTAATACCGCCTATTCGAATTTACACGTTTATTTGTATGAGCTTTTTTACTGTATTGCATACTGGGTCGATTGAAATATTGTCTCATTCATACGTCCCACAACGTGAACGGTTGATATGCTTCTGGTATGGATAAAGTGGGGAAGTTTTTAGGTTGAGATTTACACTTATATTTTATATTAGCTTGTAAAATAGCCCGCGTAATTGGACTAAGTGGTTGCTATAATGACTGGATTACACCGTCCATAAGTGTAGTTCTGTGCGTTTAAAAACGTTGTAGAATTGAGAAAATTCTATATCAGAAAAATGTCTTCTGATTTATGATTTTCGATGTATGTCAGTTACTAGTTTAAGCTTTATTGTTGTTGTCTTAAATATAGACAGTTCATCTCTTTGAATAGAAGCTAAGCAGAGCTTTGTTTTATCCTGGCTTACTTCTTTTAAATATCGTCTTTTACGTATTTTTGATGCTAAGCAGTAGTATAATTTTCACATTGTTGTCAGTACTTGTATTGAAAGCTTTTATGATGAAGGTTATGTACTATTCTTTACGTGTGAACTTCGATTACTTCATATCATGCGAACTCAAATAAAACAGTTGTTATTAAAGAGCTTATAGGTTATTTTCTGTATTTAGGCAGTTAGTTTAACAGTTAAAGAAGTTATTGACGTAATGTTTTTGTCAATTTATTGTTAATTAATAGACAAAATTATTATTATCTGATTGTATCAAGTTACCTTAGCTTACAGAATTACGTAAATAGTGTTTTTATCACACCCACCAATAATATACTTATCAATTTGTGTCGATACACTGATATGTATCACTAGTTTATCGGTTTCATTTAGGATTTATGCATTTCACCTCCATATTTACCCTTCAAATTGTATTCTTCAGTTAATATTTGATATGAAACGTTTTTATATTGAATTTATGTCAAATTGAAAATATGATGACGTTCAACAATGCACCATTTCTTATATTTTCATTCTACAGTACATTGATTCAATTAATGAAATTCGCCGAATTCCAGTGAACGAAGACAATTTTTCAGAATTGAGGAAATGTTTTAACTTGTAAAGAAAATTATTTTATATCCTAATTGATATTCTGTATATTTCCTATTTATTATCTCTTCTTTTGAAAAGACTATTTTTCTACCAGACATAAATATAAATGATAACAGTAATGATTACTAAAGTAATTATCATTGCTCAGACGTTTACTTGTGGTCTTTTGTATTACAAAACTAGTATATGTATGATTGGGGAATGGTGGTAGTGTTCAGACTATCTTTTGTATCTTCTCGTTGTTTTCATGGTAATACATGGAATCCTCAACACATATGGTCACAGATTTATCAGTGTTAATGCGAACGTGGAAGCTACTTTTCTAGTCAAAAAGCATAAATTACATCAATTCAGCTGTTGAATTAAACGCAGGACTACCAGAGTAGGATCATGTAAATACATCATATTTTCAAATACAGCAGTATGGTTTGAATCTTCGAATGAGTAAGGCTTAAAGAAGTGTAGATATTGACCTCTTACCATTTTTATACAACACTACAAGACTGAATCAATTTTATGACCTGTTTCAACCCGATAGTTTGTAGTGGCGATTTATAAGTATTAGTCGTCGATTATTTCTAGATTATTGGAATTTATTCGTTCTTACAGTTATTCTTGTACAAACTTAGCCAACTTTACTCCTTCCTGATCTCAATCTATTCATGTAACAACGAATGTGATGCGAATAATTATATACTGTTTAAAATCTTGTTGAGAAATGGATTTTGTTTTGTTAATATTAGTGGGAATCTAGTTGGTATGACAAAACGATTTGTAGGAAATTTTTTTTTCACTTTATGAAAATAAAGTATTTTATGAGTATTCTCCGTTTTTATATTTGATTTGTCATTAAACATTCCATAAATCTGTCACAAACAAAATCATCAGTAGTGTTTATCAAATTGGTAGGAAACGTTTCTAGTTCATGTGAATAATTTCTGTAGCTTTTCGTTCTCTTAATAGCAAAGCTTAATTGTGAAGTTTAGTTGCTGTTTTTTTAGACATGATTAGTATAATCTTCTAGTAGAAATGTGACGTTTTAATTACTTCACCGATACTAGGTAGATACATACATCGGAAAGTATTTTTGAGTTAACCATCCTATGGTGAATTTTAAAAGGATTGAGTGTTAAAATCAACGTAAATGCCTTGGATATGGGAAATAGTTGACGTTTTCGTCTTCCAATTAACCCGAATCGGTTTAAATGATTTTTTCTAATTAGCGTTATTTCGGCAAGGTTTCTTCCACGAGGTAAGGTTGCTAACCTCGTGCCCAACCCTCCTCCGTTATCTGGGGTTTCATTTTTCAATAATGAATACAAATTAATTTGTAAACATAACAATCCGCTTATCCAGAGTCGTTGATTCTTGGGCGATTAATATTGTCTACTCATTAGTAGGCAAAATATGGAGGGAGAAATAATTTCAAGAAAGACATCATAATCTTATTTTCCAATACATATATATTTATTCTCTGTCAATGGGATGTTTGGTCAGCTTTGCCTATCTATCAGGTAAAATTCCATCAATGCTTTTATGCATTCCATATAGCAGTCATATCCATTGAAATTCTTAACCTTTTGTTTTTTTAATAGTCCACCTCTTTTAAACAAAGTAGGATCAATAGTCCATTGGAATAATGTTCGAAACAAATAACAAACTGTGAATAACACCGGTATGACATACATTTTAAGTCTGTTATATTTTTTTTCATTGACAGAACAAACTATATATATATATATATATATATATATATATATATATATATATATATTTGAAAATAATAACAACCTATTTGTTTTAATAAAATGGAAACTTTGAATTCCATGCATTTATAATTACGAATAGAATAATAATTGGAAGTTTAGACGAGGTTTTACTGTATAAGTAAACCCTAGTTATAAATTTAGCTTTCCCAGCGTATGTGTTTTGTATTGGTAATGAGTGAAAATTGAATATTTCAAGTTGATTATTAAATACGATATTTCTGTTTTGCAAATATACACTATAACACTTAACATTACAATCTAACCTAGTTTAGGTGGATTTTTCTGTTACAGTACAACAAAAAGTTGTCAAAATGGGAGCATAGACTTCATGCCTTGTGTGAAAGCTGTGTTGATGATATTAATTGGAAGAGATTTGAAAGCGAACTTTATTTAATTCAGTTAATTAAAATATACCTTACTCCCACGTAATGAATACGATTATCATTGTATGCAATACAATCATTTCCAAAAGTTTTATCAATTTCTTGACAATTCATTTGCGTCTGGATAAATTACTGTTAATTAGTTGGCAGAATTGTCTTTCTATGCACCTTGAAATGAGTGAAGTATGGGGATTTCAATAGCGTTACGTTGAACATATTGTAACGAATGAATACTGAGTGGGCAAAACCGATTTATTGTTTTAAGCATAATCAAACAGTAGTTTCGTAAATTATATACATTAAATACATCATTTGCATATCTTCCTTCAGTTATCTTTTATATACTTCATCATTCTTCTTATCCTGTTGTTCTTCCGATTGCTCTTCATTTTTCCTCCTCTTTTTAACTTTCTACTGGTCAGCATTCTATTTTCAATCCTTACTACATACTACTTTCGACTGTTCTCATAAGTAGTGCAGAACACAATATGTTTGAATCACAGTAAGCTGTTACATTACATAATGAGTGAGCGACATATAGCAGGGTAGAAATGAAGTGACCATGTGTACTGAGAAACTTATAACCGGATATATATCTGACTTGTTCTGTAAGCTTATTTAAGATAGTAAGAAGGTGCAGAACTCTGTTTTTGGGAATTAACATAAAGTGACTCGGGCGTTTATATTATCCTGACTTGCTGCAAGAGAATTGACTCAACACTAGGCTATTTGGCATTGATATGAAACATATTTCTATACTTCTAAATCACTGGTTCGAAAGGAAATTCAGACACTGATAATGAATGTAAAAAATTGTGTGAAAATCAGCAATAATTCGCATAATTATTTAAACGAAATAACATGGATATTAGGCATTCCGAAAATTTTGAAAATTCATTAGTGCAATCAGTCGTAAGCAGCGTAGAAATTGGGACATATAAGTACTAGTTCAAAAGTTTAAACCATGATAGGACACCGAGTAAATGGTTTTAAAACGTTGATGGGTAATTTAAACCTACAATGTACGGTTAAAATAAATATGAAGTAAAGGTAATATGTTGTTTAAAATAAAAAATAACACGTCCATTATTGACTAGAGATAAAAGCCATTTGTTGCATAAAATTAACTATTTGCAATGACTAAACCTACTAATTATATTGGAAGTGAATGTTTCTAAAATTTCTTTTTTCAAACCATTATTCTTCTAATGGTCATATATGTTTTGTGAAGAATCACACCAATTTTTCATTCATTTTATTGAAGTGATCATAATTATAGGCAATACTGTACAAGAGAAAGATAATTGTTTTTCACTGAAACTATGAGACGATCAGTGTTACACCACCATCGAAAACGACTGAATTCAGGACCTTTAATCTCGCGCGCTAACATTTATTCTCTAGACCACTAAGGTGGTATCCAACGATGGTACTGTCTAACCTCAACCAATGCACGATATTGTGCGACCATTTTCCATTGTCTTTAGTGGGCATCTGCCTCACTCCCGATATTGATGAGCTACACTGGTCACGGCTTCTCACTAGAACTCTGGAAATCTCCTCTCGAAGCCTGTCATTAGTGTGTACATGATAATTTTCCGTATGGAGTCGTGGAAATTGTTGATTTTTATTGAAATCTTAAATATATTTAATCCTGGAAGCTCCAGATTAGCACGAAACAACTCTCTGGTGCTTCCAGGTTTTCAATAGTGGTCTAACTTATATCAGTTCATAATATAAATGAAATTCAGCAAGCTCCACAACCCTACACTTATAACTGTTTTTTATTGAAATGAAATGCTTTATTTACCTATTATTTAGTCAATGTGTGTAATCTTCAGAAACAGTCTAAATATTACATTGTCTTGTCACTACTGTTTTATCCTTACATCATCTGTTGTTCATTGTATCCACGTTTTTTATGGTTCCACAAAATGCTTTCTTTAAACAGCAATGACACTAGTAATAGTGATTTTGATTATACTTGTAAAAAAACAACTATATAACATTTATTGCATTACTTGTAATTATATAGATTAATATATTATGGCTGAACAGAACGAAAAGAAAACAATTTAATTCTATCATTTTTCTGAACAGGAATTCTTTAGCTTGATTGGTTTATCTCAGAATCGTTTTAAGTTTCTTAAATTCGACCATTTTGAGTCCATTTATTTGTTTGCAAATCAGTATGCTAATTGGTAGCGTGCTTTAAAAAATCAGTTTAATGCATGATTTAATTGATTGAAACCATTGGGATTTTAAATGGCAGTAGGTAAATGCCTAGGAATTAACGCTTCTAGTATGAATAAGTTTCCTTTGCAAATTATTATCAGTTTACGAATCATTGGATATCTTGGAGAACGAGACAGGTGTTTTCTTCTTAGTTGGAACTTATCGACAATGCTTTGTTATGAATATGGATTGTATCGAACATATGACCTTCGTTTCTCTCTATAAGCATAATAACTTTAGACAACGGGTTCTAAAACCTTACGGTTATATTTCCTATTTCAGTCAATTAGAAATAATACACAATCCTGATTCAACGATATTTACAACAAACTGTCCCATTTTTGAAATTTCTTGTTTGTTAATTTAAAGATAGATTTAATTGCCAAATAGTACTAGTCCAACCATTTATATCATACACCAAGCAGATTAACTAGAAACTGATGAAGCAATAGAATTTTGTTTATTTTTAATTTATTCATTATATTCACTAGGATACTGGAAGATTTATTATTGATACTAATGAAAAAAATGTTCCCTTTGATATTAGTAGTATGTGAATTCAGCGACAAAAATAAATGAATAAATTTATTTAGTTTTCTTGCGAAGTCTTTAAATGTGACATAAAAATGATATACTTTTTAATATATTTCAATTCATTGACAGAGTTCATCAGTACAATTATATAGCCAAAAAGTATTTTTGTTTTGTTTTAAAATATATTTACATCTTATCCAGTGTATAAGTTCCTTTTAATATTTTTGTTTTCACTTTGTCACTTATCTTGGGAGTCTCATCAGCCCTTGTGGTCTGGTGTGTGACTAAATCTCAGCACGAATACACAAGGCTCGACTAGCTTTTGACAACTTACATCATTTATGGTGTAGGCGAGATATCCGTCTATCAACCAAAGGACGTGTTTACTGTGCAGCAGTTCGTTCCGTCCTACTTTATGGCAGTGAAACATGGCCGGTAAGAGTAGAGGATATCCGTAGGTTACTAGTATTTGATCATAGGTGTCTTCGAAACATTGCTCGTATATGCTGAGACCATCGAGTAAGTAATGCAGTTGTTAGGAAACGGGTATTAGGTAAGGATGGCAAATCAATTGATGAAGCAGCGAAAATTCATCAGTTGAGATGGCTGGGACACGTGTTAGATATGCTCAACGACCGACTGCCTCGACGTGCGATGTTCAGTGGTATAGGAGTAGGATGGAAGAAAGCTAGGGGTGGCCAGACCAAAACATGGCACAAATCCATGAAGTCACTGACAAGTGGACTGAGACATGTTGGTAGGTGTAGACTACCTGGTTGGGGACCACGAGATGATAGCAACCGATGGTTAGAGACCCTGAATGACATGGCTCAAAATCGTTTGCAATGGTGCAGGTGCATCCACTCTTTGTGTTCTCTCAAATTCTAATCTTCTGAATTCT